CCGCCCCCCGCCGGGCGCGGTCCCGTTCGCCCGCGTGCTCCTCTGTGCTAGCCCTGGGGTGTCCACGCACCCCCGACTGGCCGCTCAGTCGGGGAACCCATCGGCACCCGCCCGCCACCGCTGACTTTCCGGCGGCTGGTGCCTGAGGGCTCCACGCCGCCGCGCTCACCGGCCTTTGGCATCCGCCGGCAGCCGGCAGCGGCGCTGTGGTTCCTGGTGGACCCCAGAGTAGGCCCGGGCTCTTCACCCCAGCTCGCCCCCGGTGACCCCTAACCCGCCTCTTCAGCAACTTCTTCCGCTGCGAGTGGAGAGTGACAGGATTGCTTACCACCGAGCAGCCATTTGGACATGAAATTAGCTGATTTTATCGCAGGGACCAATTGTTGAGCTAATTAGATGTGCAGTACTGCTGATGAACCAGAAACCCGGAGTGATTTTCCATCGAAACTGTGGTTTTCTGCAAAGTTGGCGGGGCTGTGGGGCCCGGGCTCCCCGAAGCCGAAGGACCCGGAGAGGCTGGGGGCTTCGCTCACTGAGCCCGGCCGGGCCGGCCCTCCTCGGGTCTCCCGGCCGGGGGCTTCGCACGCCACGGGGGTGGGTAGTTTGGCCCGGGACGACGTTCGGACTTTCCTCCTCCCCGCTGCACCGTGGTCATCTGCTGCCCATCTGTGTGACTGGCTGCGTGGCTCTTTTCTCGACTGCGTGTGCGTATTTCGTCTGAGGAGTCTCCCGGTGGAGTTGTTTGCTTATGGGATTAACGGGAGTACGGCGCCGGTTGTGTTGGTAATTATTTTTGGATTAGCGAGTCCCGAGCGTTTATCTCCCTAGCGAGCCCGTCGTGACCAACACGCTCTAATGTTGTAAGCCGAGCCGTGGCCCGGCGGGTGGGGAGTGTCGGGGCACGCCTCTCGCCGGAAGCGGCCCCTCTGCCCCGGCCAGGGGCTCCATCTTTGGCCCACGGTAGTCAGGTTTCCTGATACTGGTAGAGGAAGAACAAGCCCGAGGCCGGCTTTGGCCCCTGACACGCAGCTCCGTCCGGCCTCGCGCTGCGGGATGCTCAGACGTCACCACGCTCCAGACGTGAAACCGTCCACAGCCCGTGTGTCCACCTCCGACTCGCCCATCCTGGCCGCCACCCGCCAGCCGCCGTGCATCCACCCGTCGTGTCTTTGACGCAGCTCTGTTCTCCAGATGCTGGCGCTTGGCCCGCAGTGTCGCCCGCCCTTCCCGCTTCCCGGTCGTGCAGGGCAGAGCCGGAGCTGGGACGCTGAAACCACACTCGAGGTTGCGGGCACCAGGCCTGGCTCGGAGTTCCGCTCAGCTCTGATGACTTGGTTTTCTTCCCACACTACTTAGGTTGCAGCAATGTTTATCGACTCCCCTGGTCTCGGTGGAGGCCTGTCCATGGTGGTTCTGGCTGCTGTGAGAGAGAGAGAGAGAGAGCAACGGCAGCTTTCGTCCTCGGGGCCGACCTACCTGGGCTGCCTCTCCCAGCGCGGTCTGCACGCTCACGATGCTCACATTTCTGGCCCGGAGGTACCCTCAGGGTGCAGCCCCCACATGCACTCACTGTTTATTGTTTCCACTTACTTCTCAAAGCAGTTTCCCTAAGTGAGCAGTCTGACTTGCACCCCCTTGCCCCCCAAGCCAGCGCCCACTGACAGCCTCCCCGACACAAACTGGTAACTTGCTGCGAGGTGGCCAGGACAGCCCTGTTGCCCACCCCCTCGCTCCTCCCACCTCTTGTGGGGACCCCCACGCTTCCTGGGGATCCCCCAGACACACCGCCGAGGCTCCGGCTTCTCCTGCACTCCTGTTTACGCCAGAGTCGGGTCACTCGTCTCGTCCTGACCGCAGGGATTTTGTTCAGCCCCGGCCCAGGGCCTCCAGCCTGCTGCTGGCCGTGCCCGGACCCGAGGCCGGGCTCGGCCTTCCTGCCCTGCGCAGAGCGGGCGGCTCCCTGGGGCACCCAGTTCCCCAAGCAGCACAGACTTGACCTCCCCTGGGGAACTTGGGAGAGAGACGAAACTTGTGAAACGTGACTTTTGAGCACCTCTACTCGCATTCCCCCAGCACACCCCAGGGTAGTGTGTCAAGAGTAACGGGGTGGGGGGGCGCCCTAGAGCTGGTTAGTGTTTGGGGGAGGGCGGAGCAAGCTGCGTGTGAGTGAGCGTGCAGGTAGCCACGCCGGCCCTGGGAAGGTTGGCTGGGAAGGCCTCGTCGTGTCTCCGGCCCTCGGTGTGCCCCCGCCGCCCCGATGACGCAGCGGGTTAGGGTGCGGCACTGCAAGCCAGCCCAGCAGCTTCAGTGGGAGCGAGCGCGATCCCCACCCCGGAGGTGACCCCCAGGGCGCAGCAGACGGCTCCTGTCTCCCCACCGCTCCCCTCAGCAGGGTGTCTCAGTCCATCTGCCTGTTCTGCTCCCCACTCTGTCTCTGGGGAAGCCTCTCACCCCTGCACCTCTGGCCTGCACCCCAGTTCTGTGTGCATCAATAAATAAATCTTTAAAAGAAAATAGCAAAAAAAAAAATGAAAAAAAACCATCTCAGTGCAGAAAGCAAAATGTGCCCTAGGCGTCTCCGCTCGTGAGGTGTGCTCAGGCATGCGCTGGAGAGCTTACGCAGTGCTCGCAGCCGGCCCCTCCGCCCTGGAAATCAGAAAGCAGTTTCCCGGGGCCCCCAGGGTCTAGGCTGGCCTGTAGGCCTCTGTAGGCTGGGAAGGCCGCGCCCACCCTCGCCCCTCCCTCCCCTGACCAGGGGATCGGCTAATCACCCCCGCAGGCACCAGCCACCTACTGATTCACCGCCAGGTTCTCAGCAGCGTCGGTTCGCGGCAGCTAGGGGGGGTGAACGTGGCTCGCGGCGGCCCCCACGCCCCGCACGGGCACGCGGCTGCTGTTCCCGGGAGTCGCCCGGTAGGCGCCTCCTCGCCGGGGCTCCCGAGCCTCCTTCCTGCCCCGGACTGGAGCACGCTTGGCCCCTGGAGGTTCTTGGCCAGTTTGTCGTCCTGAAGGGAAAAGATGCAGCAGGATGAGGAAGCCCCTCTTTGCCGCCCCCCGTTCATATTTTAAAACGCCAGTTCCCAGTGGGGTGGTTTTCGTTGCAGGTGGGGCCTTTGAGAGATGACTAGGCTTGGATGGCATCGTGGGGGGTGGCCAGAAGGGCCCCGAAGAGCCTGAGCCCGTCCACACTCTGCTGGGGCTGGGCAGCCCGCTGCGAGGTGACCGCGGCCAGCTCAGGGAAGCGGCCTCTCACCCGGGCCAGCCTGGGATGCGGACAGGGGCCGCCAGAGCTGCAGGAAGGGTGTGGTGCCTCACTGGGCCACTGTGGGGCCGGTGAGACCCCACAGGGAGGGAAGAGCAGGCCTGGGAGGACACCTGGCCCAGGCCGGCGCCACCTCACTGCCCAGGGCCTTGGTCAGGTCTCTCGGCTCCAGTTCCCTGTTCGTGAGAAGAAGGACGTGCATGACTGCTGAAGGCCTAACCGTCTTCAGGCCTGTTCAGGGGCCGAGGACCCCGGGGGCACCTCCGGGCCAGGGCCAGGGCACGGCCTCGCTCCCCGTGGCGATGGCCAAGGGCTCCCCACGACCAGGCGGGGGCGACTCAGAGACGAGCCGCCTGCAGCGTTACCGGGTCCCCGCCTTTCAGGCCTCTGTGAGGTCCAGGTGCGGACCGCCCCCCGCCGGGGGCCAGGCGCTAGCTGCCAGCCCCCGAGTGTCCCTCCTCGATCCCCAGCTCTGCACCGGGGTACGTCAGTGAGGCGCCCAGGGCCGCTGAAGGGGCCCGGGGAAGTGTCAGGTGACGTTTTATGGTTTGGGGGTAGCAGGTGTCCTTAAAACAAACAAAGAAACCAGCCTTTATTTGTGCTACCTTGTAAAGCGTTTCAGAGACCAGCAAGACGCTCGGGGGCTTGTTCACCTCGTGGCAGGGAGCCTCTGCGCGGCCCGGGACTCGGTGTGGCGCTGACATTATTACGAGCGTCCCTGTGAGTCTCGGCAAGAATATGTGAAGTTGGGGTGTTGCCGCCCCCTTTCTGAGCGCCCCTCCCGGGCTGTGCCTGTGGCCTCCGAGCGTGCCATCTTCAGCTTTACCGGGTTAGTGCATCTGGGCGCTTACTTTCTCCTCCACTTATCACGTGCGTGGACTTCCTGTGTGGAGGCTCAGGCTGCCCTTTCCAGCACTGTGTTTAGAAATATCTGCATTACCCCTGGGCATTTGTTCATTAATAGGAGGTGGGGAGAGGAAAAGCCTGTAATAATGGGCTTTACATGTCATTAAACCGCGGGCCTCCGCCTTGGGGCCAGATGAGCAGCCCGGGCTGCACCGCTGCCCCCTGGTGGACGCCGCCCGCAGCTGCCGCGACGCGGCAGGTGGTTGGCGCCCTCAGGGCGTCGCTGGCCCCTGGCTGTGTCTCCATTCAGCTCACTGCTCTCCCGGCCCCTGCTGCCAGGCCCCGGGCTTCCTCCCCGGCCAGAGCAGCAGGAAGCACTTGGGAGGCGCAGGGAGGCGCTTTCGCGTTAGCGCAGCAAAGATTCAAGGCAGGCGGGAGCAGTGGATGAACCTGCGCCCGGCCGTGCCCACGGTGACCCACGCGATGTGGGCTGGATGCAGGTGAGCCTTTCCGCCTGTGCAGGGTGTTTCCGTTCCTGCGCACGAGGGCCTAGGAGCGGCTCTGCACGCGGGCGCCCTCGGCCAGTCCGCGGCGGGCCCTCAGGGCGGTGCCTCGGGATGC